CCCTCTCTTCAGTGTTTGTTTGTGTGTGTGTTGTATGTAGATATGTCTGTCATTACATTTATGTCAATTTCAGAATCTTGAGATGTTTGGGGAGTAATACCTTCGATTATGGCATCCTGCTGTCAGATTTGAATGTAGGGATACCTGGTATACTGTACATATCTGCTACTTCGTCTCAAGGTGTGAATGGTATTACGACAGCAGGTTGGTTTAGTTATTCTCACCATGCTTTCCTAGGAGCGCTACGATGGGCTGTGGAAATAGTTTGTTACTGATTGTCAGGAAGTTTCTATGGGTCTTTTTACATACTATGGCGTTTGCTTCTTTTTTTTGGTAGAGGGGTGTGTGTGTGTGTGTGTGTGTGTGTGTGTGTAGTTTGAGGGCATACTTACACGATGACTTTTCAGAGTGTGTGTGTGTGTGTGTGTGTGTGTGTGTGTGTGTGTGTGTGTGTAGTTTGAGGGCATACTTACACGATGACTTTTCAGAATGGATCAGCTCGTAATTGAACCCGGATTCATTTGAAAGTGTTCTTGTGCGAGTATACCCTGACTGATGGTGGTAGTTAGGCTCCTGTGGTGCAAAATCACCTTATTAATGGATAGTATGGTAATGTTAATCGTCTCCGAAAGCTTTTGATGAAAATGAATTCCGTACTGAAGAATTAAAAAAAAAGAAGAAAAAAAGGTACAGAAGTAATGAAAAGACTGGTGGGCCCTCGCGCAGCACTCGCGAAATGCCAAAAGACAGAAAAAACAAAATGGCAGGTGTACATGCCCACGATATGGTGGGAGATGCATTCTCATTATGGAATCAAATTATGAAATTTGAACACGTGGTGAATGGTGGGGTGGGGCGAGGCCCATGGTGAGCGATCATTGTGTCTTAAATTCCGAATAAAAATTTGTGCTGTGGGTGCATATGCTGTCCTTGGGCAAGGCCTCACTAACAAGAGGATTGGATTAAGCCCCTGAATCTGGATGAGTTTTTGCACAGATGCGGAAAAACAGGTAAGTGTTATGATCCTGGTCATTCCCAAAGTGCAAATTCACAATGAAAGACAATGCCACCCAATTGCGAAAGAAATGAAAGCACTTGCAAAGAGATGGAGACCAGCGAAGAGGGAACGAAGAAGAAGAAGAAGAAGAAGAAGAAGAAGAAGAAGAAGATGTACACCAGCAAGACCAATTACAAATCCCCCCTTCTCTCTCCGCCTTCCTCCTCCTCCTTAATGTGGCATACTGCGTAGCCACACGAGCTTGCAGGGCCCGTCCCGCATTCTCAGCCTAAAAGCCTAGAAATAAGGGCTTACAGGCCCCATGTCGTTTCAGCCTGAAAACTGAAAACGAGGGCCTGCAGGCCCTATTTCGTTTTCAGCCTAAAACAGGACTTTTCAGCCCTGAGTCTTTTCAGCCTGAAACGGAGGGCCACTTTCGGGCCCTCATAAGATCATCCTGCCCTAGAACTCAGGCAACAAACCAGGGTTTTGGGAACAGGCTATTTTTGGCCTGTTCCCCACGCCAGCCTCAGCAGGAGCTGCAGCGCCAGCCCCTGGCTTGCCCTGGCATTGGCAAGAGCAGCCTCCTGGACTGCCTCGCCCTGCAGCTGCAGGCAGTCAGGAGGCAGGSCGAGTAGTACATAGGGRGTTCCCATGCACTTCACRGSTAGGTAGTTGGACAGAAGGCAGGAGTAGTCTTCAGGATTCGGCAGCAGCACTCTGGAGGAGCGCTGCAGGAGCAGCTTAGCGCTAGCAGTAGTCTTCAGCGCTGGGCGCTAATAGGTGGTAGTAGTAGTGTTGGGGAGAGATAGCTGGCGGAGGCCAGTGAGACTTACCTGTGGCGCCATAGCTCCAGCTCCATCTTCGAGGTACCTGCATCAAGGCGCCAGCTTCACAGGTTAGTACCGGACTCTGAGATAGAGAGAGAGAGTTCTTCTTCCTCTTCTAAGTCCACCATCTCTTCTTCACCCTCTCACTACCTGACTTCTCAGTATCAGCGGACTACGACAGAGAGAGAGAGAGTTGTGACTTTAGACTTGACGACATTGGATCCAGACTCGACATTGGGATTCAGACATTTTGACGAGGGACTATTTGGGCCTGTGTCGAAGACTTGGTGTTGACGACATTCCCATCTTCCCCTCTTCTTCGTCTAACCCCCCTCTTCTTCGTCTGTGTATGGTTGGGGCTGGCGCATTCTTCCTGTGTGAGCGCCAGACCCCTTCACACCATGGAGTGATGATGATGATGTATGTTCGGGGCTGCATTGCAATATTGATCGTTCGGATCATTGGTATCTAAGTCTTCCGCTACGCAATCTTGTACTTTGTGAGAGGTTGGTTCTTGTTCTGGTCTGCACCTTTACAATATGCAACATTAACCTCTCCAATCTTATTCTTCTTCCCAATAATAATAATAACACTGAGTGGATGAACCAGAATCAGTATCCGAAGTTCCCTCTTACTGCTGACTCAACAACAACAATAACAACAACAACAAGTCCACCATAGCTATGGCTTCCCTCCTTCCTCCTCTCACATGCCTAGGCTATGGCGGACTACTAAGGGCCCTGCCCTCCTGTCCAAAGGAGAACCCAAAGCAGCTATGGCGCTGCACTCCTGTCCAAAGGACAACCCAAAGCAGGTATGCCACTGCTGACTAAGCCGCCATGCTTGACTCTGCCTCGAGCTTCCTTGGTGCGGCACTACCCCAACTGGGGCCTTCCAGATGCAGTGCCCAACAAGGTGATGAAGATGGTGTCCACCATAGTCAGGTAGGTGCCTCGCCACTCTCTTCCGTCGCCCCCTTTTTCCGCCTCCTCAGGCTGGCCTGCTCGCCATAGTCAGGCTGAGCGCCCAGCTGCCCTTCACCTCCAGGCAGTGCTGTACCAGTCCAGCGCTTTGCTCAGCTTCCTTGCATACCGAAAATGAGGAGGAGCTACTTGCTCCTCCGGAAGATATAGCGGCCTACTGGCCTCTTGGGCGGTGACTTCCTAGGTCGAGCGGCCTCCCAGAAACCGGTACCTCCTCCCTTTTGGAGGGAAACATCATTGCAGGCTCTGCTATCGTCCGGACAGGCCCTAGACCCGGGCTACTTGGACAGGTACCAGCCTACCTCTATCCTACCGCTACTGGGCCTCTAAAAATGCCAACTTTTTGTCTTCTTCTGCTCGGCCTCCAGTATCCGACACTCCTACCACTACTTGAGTGGTACCGGCCTGCCTGCTACTTGAGTGTTTTTCCCCGCTGCTCTAAGTGTCGTGGGCCTACCCCCACTACTTAAGTGTTTACCCCGTGGCAACCCTCAAAGTCACGGCCACAGGTAAGTACCGGCCCTGCGGGGCCTTTCAACCAACAAGTACCCTTGCGGGTCACACACACACTCAGCCAACAAGCACTCAGTCAGGTATGCAAACCAGCAGGCATGCACACACACACAGACTTGGAAACCACAATAGAATGTGGGAATCTCAGCAAGGCATTCATTCCAGCGGCAAATCCCAAAAATCAGCAGTGTTCTCAGTCTGTATTTTTGGCGGGTCATTACATTACCCCCCGCACAAGAGCGAGGTCCCTTCGAGCGAGAAACTCATTCAAAGTCGGCACGAAATGCATCGTAGGCGTAGATCAGAAAGAGAGATTTAGTAAGACCGTGAGGATTGAGTTTTGCAGAAAACTTAGCAGTCTGTCCATCAGCGATCTGTCAATCATAAGCGTTAACAACACGTGGAGCATTCTTTAGGAACTCTTTTAGGTCGATCCAGAAAAATTCGTTCAATGGGTGATAGAGGAAGTGAACCTTGTACTGTCTGTTCTTTCCTTTTCCTTCATGGGAAACAATTTTGTCTATCTCATGGCCGCCGTCGATAGGACGAGGTATCATAGGATCTCAGAAGGGAAAAGTCTCGTCATCGATGTGTGGAAACGGTTTGGACGCGTGAAAGACCGGATATGTGCGCAGATGAGGAGGCACGTCAATCACATACGAAGGACCAAAATCATCCCCAATCACCTTTAGAACCTGCCAAGGGCCATAGTACAATGGAAGAAGCTTTCGTGATACGCCCTCTTCGTCAGAAAACTCAGACGTTTTGACCCAGACATAACTCCCTACTTTGAAGTTCCCTTCTTTGCGCGACTTGTTAGCATGTTTGATCATGGCATGCTGACGCTTGTTCATTGCTGCGATAGCAACTTTGAGCAGCCGTGCATACTTGGCATTGTAGCCAGGCATGCCAGGCGTCATACCAGGGGGCCGTTCGGGGAACAAATAGGAGAGAGGATTGCGCAACTGCCAACCATATTGCAGCTGATTCGGTGTCACGCCAATTGCAGAGTGAATGGAGTTGTTGTACAACCCTTTCACTTTGTGTAACTCCTTGTCCCACGTGTTCTGATGTAGAACAACTAATGCGCGAAGTAGTTGAATGACAGTCTGGTTGATATCCTCTGCCAATCCATTGGCTTCGGGGTGTCGACCAGAAGTCTTGTCGAGTTTAATGTCATAGGTCTGCAAGGTGAAGTCCTTCCAATCAGCACTGATGAACCTGGTGTCCCGATCACTCACAAGAGTTTTCGGGGGGT